TCACAGGTGAACGTGTTTGTATTTAGCCTACTTAGCATCTGACGATAAAGGTGTAAGGCTAGATTCTGCAGTTCATAACTTATTTTAATGTGATCATTCTCATATTTGAACTGAGAAACTAATTTGGACTAACAAAACTTTATTTGCCTCTTCTCCAAAGACATCAGTTGATTTTCCTTCCCTCAGCTGCCCTCCCTCCCTCCTGTTTTACTCTGTTTGGGCTGCTACAACAGAAAACCATAGATGGGGTGCCTTGTAAACAACAGATTTCCTTCTCATGGTTCTGAAAGCTGGGAAGTCCAAAATCAAGGTGCCGGTAGATTCGTGTCCTGGTTCACAGATGGGGCCTCCTCACTGTGTCTTCACATGGTGGAAAGGCAAGAGAACTCCCTGGGGCCTCTTTTAGAAGGACACTAATCCCATTCATGAGGGCTCAGCCCCCAGACCTAATCACCTTTCAAAGGCCGCACCTCCTACTATGGTTACATGTGATTTTGGAGGGGACACAAACATCCTGACCATCGCACTGCCCTCTCCCAATTCCTAGAACATTGCCCACTTTCGTCAAGCCCCAGGACATGGCATGACCATCAGCTGTTTTCTGGATTGGCTCTTTAGCACTGACCCCATAAGGGCTGGGCTCACTCACTTCTGCATTATGGCCTCCTCCCCAGGGAGCTCAGCACAAGGCTGGACCTATGTCAGGAGGCAAATGTGTGTTAAGGGAGACTATGTGGGTTTGTGGAGACCCCTGGAGTGTATCATTCACACGTTCACATATTCACTCATCCAAGAGCTATTTCTTGAACATCTACTACACACTGGAAACTGAAAAAAGGCAGGGAAGTCCTTTGCCCACTTAGTGATTACAGAGAAAGGACATATGGGCTTGAGGTGAATGTGATGGGCTAAGTGGCGGGGGGCTGCAGGAGCACACAGGAGACACAGAAACTGAACTCAGAGTGTCAGGGAAAGAGACCTGCGGAAAGCGAAGTCTCAGCTAAGCTCTGAAGGATGAACAAGAGTTTGATAGGTGAATGCAGTGAGGGGCTGGGGCAGCTGGGGCCAGATTTCTGAGGATACAGCTCAGCTTCACTTGGGCTGGCCATGTGGCCTTGAGCAAACAAGTCACCTAACTTCTCTGAATCTCAGCTTGCTCATTAGTAAAATAGGGATAAAAGTAGCTACCTCACGGATTTGTTGTGAGGGTTAAATGATATAATGTGCATAATGCGCCTGGCATGTAGTAAATGTTCCATAGACGTCTCAGGATCTCTGTAGCCTCCCTTTGTATGCACCAAGAGGACCATGTAGCCTCAGTGATTCAGCAGGGCAATCCCCCTGTATCAAAGCCAGACAGATCTCTCTCTCTCTTTTTTTTTTTTTTGGCAAAGATCCAGTTGGAGATCCAATTCACTTTGGCTCTGCAAGCTGAATGGACTAGAGTGGACTAAGAAGGCCTGAGCACTCAGCTGTTGGTGACGGCTGATCAAACTAGTAGGTAGTTACTGCAGATGCCAGGCCATCAGATGCCAAGAAATTTTGTTTTTCAAATTATGTGGTGGACCAAAAGGGAAATTGATCCTGAAAGTTTCGATTTGTGGATGCGGGAACCCACTAAAGAAATCTACCTGAGGCCTGGGGAAGAGGAGGCTGACGGTGCTCAGTTTAATTATCAGCTCCTGTAACCAGCAGCAGCTTCATGTTCTAATAAGAGAGCAGATTTAATGTTAGGATCCTAAATTTCCCTGTATGGGAGTGAGCAGATCAGATTTACTCAAGCAGGGAAGTGCTCAACTCTGCCTAAAATAATCAGGTTCCTGAGACAGAGAAATCCCACATTTTTGCTGAGTTAGCTGAGTTTGGGAAACAAAGTTAACTGTATTTTAAAGACACAATGCCGTAGTAATGTCCTTAGAATGAGATGGGTTATTAACTTAATTGATCCTAAATTCATCATTTTTGAGCCAAGTAATCAGTAATTGCCAGGTGACCCGTTCATCTTCCCTCCAGATGGAGGCTCTGTGAGGGCAGCAACTCTGCCCATGTTCTTTACTGTGGGGCTGAACACTGTGCCTGTAACATTGTTGGCTCTCAAAATTATTTGTTGAATGAACTGTAGAGAAAGTGAAGATAAATGGTCAAGGTCCCTCGGGGGTTGGGAATCTTGCCGAGCATTTGATGTAAATATGCTCTGTGTGCCCAGGTGTTCCTTGGCTATTGTCTAATGTAATTGCACATGTGCGCCCAGGTGTCCTGGGTTATGGGCTTAAGTATAAAGGACAATGGCTCTGATCCACAGGCCCTCCCACCCCCGGGGTTGCCAGCGGGAAGCCGTTGCCTGATCTGCTGTAAGTTGCCGCCGATGCCGAGGAAGCTGAGGACTGAGCTCATGTCGTCTGCCAATGGCGCCAATATGCTCCCGATTACCTGGAGCGTGGGCAATTCAAAACTAAAGCCAAAATGTTTCACTATTTTAGTTACACTAAGTTTTCCATTTCTATTGTCAGGACAACACTTTCTGTTTTGAGAAACTAGAAAATAAATGAATTTAAGCAGGACTGGGCTCAGGCAGAAAACCCTACTGGGTTTGTCGGAGGTTAGGGTGGAAGCGCTCCGCGCACCAGGCGCCACGCCGTGGCGTGTGGGCTCACTAACCCCCAACAGTAAGCACCCTCTTCCAACCCTTTACAGGTGAACAATCCGGAACCAACACCCCCAAATCCCAAAACCGGCTTCCGGAGCGGGAGCACAGGGATGGCTTCCACTGCTCGTGCCCGGCAGCCACTGCGCATGCCCCCACGCTGTGGCCAATGGGAGCCCGGCGCGCAGGAGCGGAGGCGGGACTATGTTGTTCCCGAGGCCACGGCAGTTCCCGACAACAGCAGGGACCGGAATTCGGTCATCGGCCAATCAGAGCCCACAAGGGCCCGCCCCTGAGCCAATTGCCTGCTCGGGTGCGGTGAAAGCTGATTCAAAATAAAGGATCGAGGCGGTTGAGAGGCGTTTACCTGGCGGATGTGACGGAGGCCGAGGGCGGGTCAGAGAGTGGCTGCCCGAGGCAGGTGTGAGTCGGGAGGATGGGACGGAGACTTTGGGTCGCGCAGGCCGGTCCCCGTGTGGAGATGAGGCTCCGTCGGTATTCCTCCCCCACTAGCAAAATAGTGCATTGCCAGATGGCCGCCCTCCCCAGGGGTATGCTCCTGGGGGGACTGTTCCGTTTCTGCGCTCCTCCCCACGGCCGCTGTGGTCCACTCCAGGCTGCAGGTTATCACTCCCGGGGTCCCACAGTCTGGGGGAGCGGTCGACCCTGGGGTCCCACAGACGGGGGGAGCGGTCAGCCCTGGGGTCACAAACAACATAGAAGTGCCAGAGCCAGGCTACTGGGCTCCAGACTGTGTGGTTCACCCACTGAACCGTTCTCGTCTCTACACGTCTCTGCTCACCCTGTCCTCATCTCTCTCCACCAGGACTGAAGGGCCCTAAAGCACCCATTCTCCCATAGCATCTGTGAACAGTGTAGACACCACTGTGGAAGGGGGGGCTCTGTGCGCCCTGAGTTGTTTTTCTTCCCCCTTTCCCCAGGCAGGGGGCGTTAAGAGAGGACAGGGAATCCTCGTAGGAAGAGGGCAGTAAGTTACAGCATGGATGTCTAGACGGTACAGTTATTGGCTTATTGCACGCAGGTCTTGTGCTAGGTGGTGGGGACAGCACAATGATCAAGACAGACAAGGGTCCTGTTCCTGCCTGCTCTGGGGGCGCGTTTGGGAATTCCTGGCAGGCAGATTTTGGTTGTCACGATGGGGGTGCTTTGGCATTAAATGGGTGGGAGACTGATGCTGGGGGAAAGCCCTGCACCACCAAGACTTGTAACATACAGGAATGTCATGTCAGGATGGTAATATGAATAATATGAAAAATGATATTAAAAATGATGAATAAATCACTATATTACAGAATGGGAAAACTCATTTTATTATGGACTTAAATAACAAAAATCTGCTTTAGGTTTTTTATGTAAGAAAAACATAAGTTTTAAGCCGGTCTGCTACTTAGAAGAACAGGAAATATACTACTTTCAAATGTTTTTAAGAAACAACCAGCAAATGTAGCAGAAGTTTAGCGTCCCCTCATGTAGAGTTAAAGGGGACAGAGCTGGGGGCAGAGAAAGAAGGAGCAGAACAGAAGACATAGAGAAGGAAGAGAAGAATTTCATCTTGGCCCTCATGCGGCACCTAACAATTTAGGAACCATTTCTCACATAATTGGCCTCAGTTCCTCCATTCACAAGCTGTGTGACCTTGGGCAAGTTACCTAAGCTTCTCTGGGCCTCAACTTCCCCATCAGTAAAATGGGGATAACAGTACTGTTTACCTCATGGGGTCATCTGTGAACGTTAAATGAGTTAATAAATGTGAAGCACTTAGAAAATTCTCAGAAGTCACTAAATCAAATTAGACATTATTAATCCCTCATTCGTCCCTTCGTTTATTGAGTGTCTAGTTTGTGCCACGTACTGAAGATGTGCTTGTCACACAGCACTCAACAAGCAGCGTTCAAATGAACGAATGCAGGGCTGGCTGGTTATCTAAGCTGGTTAGAGTTCAGTGTTGATAACGCCAAGGTCAAGGGTTCGGATCCCCACACTGGCCAGCCACAAACAAAACAAAAATCACAGATGAACGAATGCAGTGGCCTTTTAAGACTAGGTAGGGGCTTGCTCTAATCAACAGGTTGGCAGTGTCTGGGGTTTAGGATAGGGTGGGATCACAGGGGCTCACTATATAATTAAATGGGAAATTTTAATGCAGTAACCCTTTAGGACCAGGGGCCTCGGACGTAGGCCCAGGCTAACTGGGTGCTTTGAGGAGGAAGGAGGCCACCCAGCCCCATGACTACTTTCCGCCACATCGAGCCCTGCAGAGGTATTGCAGATGGCTCAGCTCTCACTGCCAGCCAGAGGGAGGAAGGTCTGAGCCAGTCAGGGGGAGATGGGCCCCCAGAGAGAAAGAAGAACCTGAGCTGGTCAAAAGGATGGTCTAACCAGTCAAATGGAGGAGAGCCCCTATCTGGGGGAGGAGGGCCCAATCTTGTCAGGGAGGAGGAACACAGGGCCACTGAGAGGCCCCTGCAGGACTTGTTTCACTTGTGGTGGTTTTTTGCACTTCCCGTTCCCTTGCTCACTGCGGAAGTTCCTCTTCTTACCCAGTACCCAGAGCCTAGCCGGAGAGGACAAGGGCAGAAGCCACCATGAGTGGGGTCCCTATGGGAGGCAGGCCCGGGGGCCGAGGAGGATCAGCAGTTCAACAGAACATACCCTCCACCCTCCTCCAGGACCACGAGAACCACAGACTCTTTGAGATGCTCGGACGAAAATGCTTGGTGAGCTGGGGGTCTCCTTGCCCTCCCTGTCTTCCCTCCCTCACCTCCTCTCCTCCTCCTTTCCTCCTCCTCCCTCCTCATCTTCCCCATCCTTCCCCTCTCCTCCTCTTTCTCCCCTTCTTCCCACTCCTTTCTCTCTCCATCATCTCCTCCGCTAGAATCCACTCACCATCATTCACCCAACCCAGGAAGACCGTGATGTCTACTCATCTTCTCTCTGGCTGCAGTTCTTCCTTTAGGCCCATGACAGCCACGGGCAAGGAAGGACCAGATATGGCTCCAAGACCCTCTGGCTACCCCCTCCCAGACTCCACTAACCCTTACTCTCCCCTCCCAGACGCTGGCCACTGCAGTTGTTCAGCTGTACCTGGCGCTGCCCCCTGGAGCTGAGCACTGGACCAAGGAGCACTGTGGGGCTGTGTGCTTTGTGAAGGACAATCCCCAGAAGTCCTACTTCATCCGCCTTTACAGCCTTCAGGTGACCCCCCCCCCCGACATGCAAACCAGTTCTAACCCACAAACCCAGATCTGTATCCATAGCCCCGAGCCCTTGGACCAGATCAGTGAACCCCTGAGCCCCAGAACCAAAGACACCCAGATCCCAAACTCTGGTTTGACTGTCTGCAATGACTGACTCCAGCATCTCCATATCAAGATCTGTAAAGCCCCCAATATTAGTATACCTCCTAAGGCTAATCTGTTCCACAAACTCCAAAAATTGAGCACTGTATTTATACCTGAACCTTAAATCTGTTCTGAACTCAACATTTTGCACCCCAAGAATCCCCCATCAAAACTCCTGAACCCTTAATGTTCACCTAGTTCCTAAATCATAAATCTGCTCCACAGACCCCAAACCCGAATGTTCCATTGAGTCTTGAACTCCAAATCTGTCCTTTTAAACCCACAGCATGGACCCCAGAATTCCCATATTAAAACTCAAATACTAAGGTATTTCTTAAGCAAAAAAATCAGTTCCACAAACCCCCAACCTGAGCTTTCCAGGCATAAACCCCAAATTCATTCTTCTAAACCCATGAAGATGAACTGAGCATAACTTTAAGATCTCAGGGGTGTCAAATACTGACCAAACTCCTAAGCAATAACTCTGCTCCACAAACTCCAAATTGCACATACCTTGGCTGGACTCACCCCAAACTCTCAGGTCTATATGTCTGAACCTCAAATCGCAACCCCGACTCCCAAATACTAAAACCTTACCTGCTATGAATGGAGTCAAGAGTGGAATTGAGTCTGAATGAGCCTCAGTTTCCTAGGACTGGAGTCCCAAATTCTCAAATGCAAGCCCCTAATTCCCACATCTAGGGCCCTGAATCCCAAATCCAAACCTCTCACAGCAGTGTCTAACTTCTAGACTGTACCCCAACCTTCCACACCTGAAACCTAGACCCCCAACTCTGATGCTGAGCTGAAAATCTCCAAATCAGACCCTGAAGACCCAAATCTGGATACCATGCTCCCCGCCCAGATAACAAAGGCCTGCCACCCAGGGCGCGCCTCACTGCCAGCATGTCCCCCACCCTGCATCTCTCCAGGCTGGCCGGCTGCTCTGGGAACAGGAGCTATACTCACAGCTGGTCTATTCCACTCCTACCCCCTTCTTCCACACCTTCACTGGAGATGTAAGTGACCAACCAACCCTTGCACCTCAGTTGGGGTGTGGGGAGGAGATGGGAAAGTTGGGGGGGGCTGGAAGGCTGCTGACCCCAAGGCATGTGCAGGACTGCCAAGCGGGGCTCAACTTTGCAGACGAGGGTGAGGCCCAGGCCTTCCAGGCCCTGGTACAAGAGAAGATACAAAAAAGGAATCAGAGGCAAAGTGGAGGTGAGGAGGCCTTAGGGGAGGAAAGGAGGTTGGGCAGAAGTGAGTGCAAGCGTGGGGAGCTAGAAAAGCCCCACCCTCGTGGTGGTTCTGGCTTGCAATCCACTTGTTTATCCACAGACAGACGCCAGCTACTCCCACCACCAGCACCCGCCAATGAAGGTGAGTCCTCTAGTGCAAGTAGGGGTAATAAGGGGCTAGCTCAGGAACCTGTGGCAGGTGGTCATAGTTCTCTACCCATTCCACCTTCCCAGAGAGAAGAGGGGGCCTCCCACCCCTGCCCCCACACCCAGGTGGAGACCAAGGGGGTGAGTGCTGATTCTTCCATGTTTTCTGGATGGGTGGTAGGTGGGGGAGTGAGTGGATGAGTGAGTAGTTACATGGGTGCATAAATGGGTGAATGGCCAGGTGAATGGGTGGATGAGTGAGTAGGGAGATAGATGGGTAGATGGATGAATTTATGAATGGATAAGTGGGTGAATGGATGGGTATGTGGATGGATGAACAGGTGCATGGATGTGTGGATGGATGGGTGGGTGGGTGGATTGGTGGTAAATAGACAACTGAGTGGGGGAGTTGATGAGAGGATGAAAATATAAATAGATATGTAGATGTAAGGCTGGTGTATAGATGTATAGGTGAATGGGTATGTGAACAAATGGATGAATGGATGGATGATTAAGTGAATTAATGAAAGAGTAAATGAATGAACAGTTAATAAATGAATAAATGACAAAATTTTGGTCAGTGAAGAAAGCAATGATTGAATGAATGACTGAGTAAGTGAATGAATAATTTAACAAATTAGGCAATGAGTCAATACTTAGTGATAAGCATGAGTGAATGAATGAATCAATGAATGTATGAATGGTTTGCAGAATCCATGCACTTCTCCATAGACCCTACTTGGATCCCCTCCCCCACTCTCTCCATGACCATCACACACACACAAACTCTCCCAACAGTCTTCCTGTTTTCTGCCCCTATGTTTTGGTTGGTAGGTAAGTGGGTCAATGGTCCAGTCTGTTTTCCTCACAGGCCCATCAGCTGGCCCTCTGTCTCTGGGGCTGGTGACAGTGGACATCCAGAACCCTGATATCACGAGTTCACGATACCGTGGGCTCCCAGCACCTGGACCTGGCCCCACTGATAAGAAGCGCTCAGGAAGAAAGAAGATCAGCAAGGCTGATATTGGTGCACCCAGTGGATTCAAGTGAGAACCTCTCCCCAGTGGGCCCACAGATCCCTGGGCTGGTGGGGAAGTGGATGCGTGGGGGAGTGGATGAATGTATGGTTGGATGAGGTAGGCTGGTAGGTAAGTTGGTGAATGGATGGATAGGTGGATAAACAGATGAGTGCATGAATTAATGAATGAGTTGAAGAATGAATGGATAGGTGGTTGGATGGATGGGTGGATGGGTGGGTGGGAAGTGGGCAGGTAGCTGGATGGGTGAGTTGGATGAGTGTGTGGACAGACTGATATGCAGGCTGATTGGTTCACAGACAAGGTGGATGGGCATAGATAAATGGACAGATATATGGATGAATGGCCAGTTCAGTGGGTAAGTGAACAGAAGTGTGTGGTTGAATGGGTAGAAAAATGAGTGGATGGAAAGGTGGGTACATGGGTAGATGGATAGGTATATGGACAGGTGTGTGTGAGGACAGATGGGTGGACAAAGGGGTAAACAGACATGTGTGGGCAGATGGGTAGAGAGACAGATCAGTGTCCCAACAGGTAAATGTGAGTGGATAGGTAGACAAACGAATGGGTGGATGGATGGTGGAAAGAGGGATGGGTGGACAGGTCAGCACCACAAACTATGGACCCCTTCTAATTCCATAACTCCTGCTCACACTAATTCACTCATTCAGACTCATTCATTAATTCTGGTCCTTCAGAGTCCCTCTGGGCAGGAGAGGGCAAGAGGGCTTCACTAGGAAGGGAGGGAAGGAAGGGCAGTGGCGCTTCACTGGAGTCTCCTCACCTCCCCCAGACATGTCAGCCACGTGGGGTGGGACCCCCAGAATGGATTTGACGTGAGTAACTCCAAAGTCCCCTGGATCCCACTCAACTTCCACCCACCCTCCCATAGAACACTACTCAGACCCCACCCCAGACCCTACCCTTCTCACACCCTTTTCAGATCTCTTGCTGGTATGGACCCAATGATAAGGTGTCCCTTCCCTCTTCACGATATTCCTTCACTCCTGCCCCGGCCATTTTCCACCTGGGCAGGTGAACAACCTAGACCCGGATCTGCGGAGCCTATTCTCCAGGGCGGGAATCAGTGAGGCCCAGCTCACAGATGCTGAGACCTCCAAACTCATCTATGACTTCATTGAGGACCAGGGTGGGCTGGAAGCTGTGCGGCAGGAGATGAGGCGCCAAGGTGAGCCCCTCGCCCTTCTATACATCCCCTTCTTCTCCAGCCCTGGCAGCTGACATCTAACAGATACAATGAAGTCACTCAGTCTTCATGGTATACTGCTGGAATAGGAAGTTGGTCAGTTGAGGTACCCATTTTACAAATGAGCAAAACTGAAGCTCAGAAGGAAATGATAGTAATTGCAGCTATGTGTTATTTTCCCCCCACAGAGCCACTTCCACCGCCCCCACCACCATCCCGAGGAGGAAACCAGCGCCCCCGGCCCCCTATTGTGGGAGTTAACAAGGGTCGTTCTGGTCCACTGCCCCCTGTGCCTTTGGGGGGTGCCCCCCCACCACCAATGCCCCGGGGACCCCCACCCCCAGGCCGAGGGGGCCCTCCACCACCACCTCCTCCAGCCACTGGACGTTCTGGACCACCTCCCCCTCCACCCCCTGGAGCTGGGGGGCCACCCATACCACCGCCACCACCACCACCACCGCCACCACCCAGCTCCAGGGATGGGCCAGTCCCACCCCTTCCCACTCCTATTTCAGCACCTGGGGGGGGCCTGGCCCCTGGTGGGGGTCGGGGGGCACTTTTGGATCAAATCCGGCAGGGAATTCAGCTGAACAAGGTGAGGATGGGCAGGACAGAGGATGGGGGTCTGGGACTCTGGGATGTCCTGTGCAAGTCAGGATATTGGGGGGCTGAGGCCAAGACTAATGGGGGTGCTAGGCTCTTTGCGTTTGGTATAGGGTTGGGAGGTTGGTTGGTGGGGAGCCTTGAAGGGGACCTGCAGTTTGTGGAAGGAGAAATAATGAAGAAGGGGTGGGGAGAAATACCCCTCTCACAGGCTCTGAGCCCTCTGTGCTAAACCCTGCTTGCTGCAGACCCCTGGGGCCCCAGAGAGCTCAGCACTGCAGCCACCACCTCAGAGCTCAGAGGGGCTGGTGGGGGCCCTGATGCACGTGATGCAGAAGAGAAGCAGAGCCATCCACTCCTCCGGTGAGCCTATCCTGCCAAGACCGTGAACCTGGTTCCTAGGGCTAGCACTGGCTTGAAAACTACCCCAAGCAGTCACCACTGAAAGTGACATTAGCCCCATCTGTTGTTTTTGTTTGTTTGTTTTTTGGGTTTTTTGTTTGTTTGTTTTTGGTGGCTGGCTGGTACAGGAATTTGAACCGTTGACCTTGGTGTTATAAGGCTGCACTCTAACTGACTGAGCTAACCAGCCAACTTTAGCCCCATCTGTTGATGACAGCATTAACATGAATCTTGGATCAATCCTTTTTGAAAATCTTAAGTCATTATGTGACAATAATATAATTAACTCTATCTTTGACAGTAATATTAACATTAATGCTAGGGTATGTTCACAATATCAACATTAATCCCATATGTAACATTAATCCCATATGTTCAATAGTATTAACATCAGCCCACTATGTGATGATAGTATTATAAAGAACCCCATCTTTGACAATAATATAAACTTTAACTCCATGCATCAACAGATTTACATTAATATTATAATTAACCTAATCTTTTTACCATAATGTTAACATTAATCTCCTAATGTGTCAACAATATTTCATTAACCCATTATATGAGGATAATATTAATCTAAACCTATTATGTGACAATATAATTAACTCCAATTCTGACAATAATATTAACACTAACCCCAGAGTGTGTCCACAAGATTAACGAGTCCATTATATGACACTATAACTAACCTCATCTTTTGACAGTGATATGATCATTAACCCTATTATGTGTCAATAATAAATTACCCCACCTTTGCTAATAATACTTAAATTCTTCCTATTAAGTGACAAGCATTAAACTGAAAGGGTTAACATTAATGCTTTCTGTGACAATATCCTAACTAATCACATTTTTTATAATATTAACTTCAACTCCAACTAGAACCTAGATCCTGACTATAATCCCTATCTTGTCCCAAGCAAAAACTCCAACTCTCCCTCTAACAGGAGACCTCAGCACCCCCAAGGCCAAGTCCTCACCTCCCAGGCCCTAGGATTCCCCCAACACCCAGGGCCTTTGAACCCTCTCACCCATCCTGAGTCCTACCCTGCATCTTTTTCTCTCCTAGACGAAGGAGAGGACAAGGCCGGTGATGAGGATGAGGATGATGAATGGGATGACTGAGTCAGCCACAGACCCCGCGCTCCTCCCCGCAGGCCAATGGCTCCCTCTCCACCTGCTCTGTGCCCACCCTGCCATCCCAGCCCTCCAGTCCCTACTTCCAGGCCCCCAAGCCCTATTTCTTCCCCACCAACCCCTCCAATGCTGTTATCCCTGCCTGGCCCCCACACTCATCCCAGCAATACCCTGGGCCCCTTTTATACGAAATTTCTCAGGATTTTTAAACAAAAATAAAATAATTGTCTTTTTTGGCTCTCTAAATTTCAGTTTGCTTACATTCCAAATGTGGGAATTTGGGGTTCTTTTAGAAGTCTCTTTTATTTATCCCATTTTATTTATTTGGACTTATGTGTACTATACATTCATTCTTTCATTCTCTCAGACATTTAGCCCAAATTTCTTTGTTTCCTTCTGCCCTTCTGTCTTTCCACAAACGTTTATTGCCTGGCACCATTTTAGGGTCTGGGGATATAGCAGTGGGGGAAAAAAAAAACAGACAAAAATTACTGCTCTCATGAGGTGGAACTGATATTCTAGGGGAGGAGACAGACAAGAAACAAAAAATCAAATAAAAATAAAAGATAGTTACAGATCGTGATAAGTGCAATGGAGTGCTAAGGCAGAGATAAAGGGGAAACAATACTCATATGGAGTGGTCAGGGAAGGCCACTTGGAGGAATTGACAGTTGTGCTAAACCTAGAGAGAGGAGGGTCAGCCAGGAGAATATTGGGGGGGGAAAGCACACCAGGCAGAGGGAACAGACAGTGCAAAGGCCCTGAGGTGAGAAAAAGCTTGGTGTGAGGCAGGATATGGCAAATAAGTGAGAGAGTCATTTACTCATTGATGCATTTCATTATTGTTTTAAAAATCATTCAATAGATACGATGCTAGATTAAGAGCACAATCAGTTACAGACCTCCCCACTCTTCATGTACACACAACTCACACACCAGGATCCTGATGGGTCAGATCTCCCTCTCTGCCCATTTCCTGGTGCAAACCAAACACTGGCCAATTACAACAGAAGGGGAAAAGACTTAATAATCAGACAGATCTGCTCAGGAACCCCGGCAAGATGCCTCACCTCTGAGCCTCAGTTTCTTCATCTGTACAATGGGGGTAACAATATGTAACTGATTTCCAACTGGGATCCCACTGGGTCACCACCCTCCCCCCCCACTCCCAGGACTTGCTCCCCCAGAAAAAACTGTCCCTGGTGTTTAAAGCTATTTCCAGGGGAGTAATTAGAAACTCTTGTACATGGGCCGGCCCGGTGGCGCACTGCTACAGTGCGCCGCTTGGGAGTGCGGTGGCACTCCCGCCGAGGGTTCGGATCCCACATACAGACCGGTTCCCGTTCGCTGGCTGAGCGAGGTGTGGGAGCAACACCGAGGGTTGCGATCCCGTTGCCGGTCCCAGTCCGGTACGGGCGTGACACTGAGGGTTGCGATCCGTTGCTGGACACGAAAAAAGACAAAAAGGGAAAAAAAAAAAAAGAAACTCTTGTACATCAAGGGTAAGAACTGAGGTTCCTACCCCTTCCCATTTCTGAAATCTGATGGATTTGAGACCTCAGATATCCTACCTGTAGAGGAGGAAGAGGAAGGGAGAGGGGAGGAAGATAAAGGTGAGGGGTAATCCAGAGAGGGCAGGCTTCTTCCACAAGATCAGTGGAAGAATTTCTAAACCATCGAGGTGCCGGTAGGGGTGGGGTGTTGAGGGATGGAAGAAATGAGTGAGGCGGTGGGAGTGGTGAGGGAGGAGGTGTGGGGGGTCGGGGGAGTGAGAGCTGGCTTGCTATGGAAGGGGGAATTCCCCTGGAGCTAGAAAAGGAGGGAGTCTCAGATTTCCTTTAATTTTTTCATTATTCTTCACCTGCCCCTATTCCACTCCCCACCCCACCCAGCCAGGTCCCTGGGCAGGTGGCAGGCAGGCAGGCACTGAGTTCAGGAAGGGCCTGTCAGTATCACTTCCCAATCCCCCACAGAAACCCTACACATCCAGTGTTCTGGGACCCCTTTGGCAGACTGTCCTGGCAAAGACCTTCCATCACACGACCTCTGAACCCCATGAGCGCTGATAGAGCAGGCACAGACGTGGGGTAAAAGAATTGACTGAGCAAGTTGCTTGACCTTTCTGGGCCTCAGTTTCCATAATCTTTAAAATGAGGATAAAAATGCTTACCTCACGGGGCTGTAGCAAGAATTGAAGTAGATTATGTCTGCAAGGTGCCTGGCTCCTTGTAGGCATCTATAAATGTTACTTGCTATTATTGTTGTTGTTACTGGATTTCACTGAACATGAGTCACCATTGATTATAAAACGCACAATTATTTTATGGATCATTAAGAAAGACAAAAAAGTGCTGCCATTTAAATCATGACTCACCAGTACTTGTAAGACGCAGGCTGATTTCAGAGATGTTAAAAAATCAAATGCTTCTGGAGCCCTGGCTGGAGATGACGTTTCTTAACCTGCATTCTGCATATTCGCTTGTGGAAACTCATTACACTGTTCATCCATGGTCTGTGTATTCTTCTGAATGTGTGTTACACTCCAATATGAGGTTTACATTAAAACAGGTCAAGGGGCCGGCCCGGTGGCGCACTGCACTAGTGCGCCACTTGGGAAGCGCGGCAGCGCTCCCGCCGAGGGTTCGGATCC